GATAGCATGATGTTATTATGTGCAATACTTAAAAAAAAAAACCAACATACAAGCATGACACCTTTATTTATCAATTTGTATTTCACAATACAGCCAGGTATGTCTGTCCTTGTTCTACTTTACCTTTCTTTCTGAAGAGCTTCTTCCTCTACTTTCTCCACAACTGCTCCAGCCCTTTCCTTCTCACTATCATTTTCCACTTCTTCCTAAGACAGAAAAGGAACCCCTACCTGTTATCCTTCGGAAGAGATATTTTTTCCCTACTGCCGCTCGCCATCCCCAGGCACGGCACGTGGTTTGCCACCTCCCCTCCCCCACCGACCCCGCTCCTAAAATCGGGGCTGCGTTGCCGTGTTCCGCCCCGCGGTGCGGCACCGCCCGTCCCGCCGCTTCCCTCTGCGCTCCGCCGAGCCGCGCACAGCGCGCGCAAAGCACCCGCCCCGCCCGCCCCCATTCCCTCAGCCCCGCTCGAAGCTCCCCCCAGCCACCCTGTCCTCTCACAGCCAGCCCGACGCAGCTCCACGCCCTCCTCCTCCCCTCAGCCCTCACTTTAGCCCCACCGGTTCCCGCTCGACTCCCGCCCCATCTCCTCATAGCCTCACACCACGTCCGACCCACAATTGGCCGATGCCCCTCGAGTTGTGCCACATCCCCCCACATCCCATCCCTCAGCCCCACTCGAAGCTCGTCTCAACCCCTCACAACCCGCGCCGTTTCACTCGGCGACACCCTCCCTCACCAGCCCCTCACCTCAGCCCCGTCGCAGCCCGCTCGATTCCCGCCTCATCACTTCACAGCCCGTGCCCGCCTGTGTCCAGCCGGTTCCCACTCGACGCCCGTCCGTCCCCTCATCTCAGCCCTCCGGTCCACACTCGACGCCCCTCCCTCACGGCCCGCCCCCTCTCACTCACTGCCGCCACCACCACCCCCACACAGCCCGCCCCTCGCCCCCACCAGATCCTGCTCGACTCCCGCCCCATCTCCTCAGAGCCCGCTGGTTTCTTCTCGGTGCCCGCCTCATCTCCTCACCTCAGCCCACGTCCCGCTTGCTGCCTTTCCCTCCCAGCACTTCAATTTCAGTCGTAGCCTCAGGTGAACGTTTGTCCCTCAGTGGTCTCCCGCGCACCTTATATAGGTGCACCGACTGCCCGTCAGCCAATAGGAGCGCAGAACGCCGCCGTCGTTTCCCGCCTTTTTTGCTTGCAGCTGCTCTCGTTTCCCGCCTTGTCCTTCGCGCCCTTTCCACCTGAGCTGGGGTCATCTCAGGGTCACACCCTCCGCCCAGCCGTTGCTGCCCATCTCCTCACAAAGCCAGCACCGGGCACAGCTGGGTGCAGGGGTCTCATTTTTTCCATATCAGTGTTTGTTTGTTTTGACAGTTCCATAAACATCGTGTTTCTTCCAGGGCAGAAGTTGCCCGTTACTTTAATTAAAAATATATATTTTTGTTAATGGATTAGAGTGGTTCCTCCCATCTCTGCCCCTAGAGGAGAAATCCTTATCCTTGACTGAGGACTGCCCTGCACCCTCTCCTCATCCTGCTTTCAGCCCAGATCAGGTTAATCATGCTCTGATGTTTGGTCGGTGCTGAGCCATGGGCACACTCCCCATTAGAAGACTCCATCATGTTAAGCACATACCTAAGGCAAATGCAGAGATCACTTGTGAAGAGATCTCAGTCAGTGCCCAACTCACAGTCTAATGCTCTATTTTCTCTCGCCTCCCTTTCTTGGCTTGCTGCTTTATTCAGAGTGGCTTTATTCAGTGTGGGCAAGGCGTCTGGAAGAGCGGCCAGGTTCGGCTGGTGTGATGCTGATGGGTTGAAGAGCTGGCAGTTTGGAGATAGCTCCATTTGGAGCTGGCAGTTGAGATAGTTTTGAGCTCAGTCTTTCGTGGAATCATACAGTTGTTTGAGTTGGAAGGGACCAATTTCTCCACAGTGAAAAGGGACAGCTGCAGCCAGGTCAGAGTGCTCAGAGCCCGGTGCAGCCTGACCTTGGATGCCTTCAGGGATGGGGCATCCAGTATCCCTCTTGGAGACCTGTTCTATTTACCATAAAAAACCTTTTTTCTTACATCCACTTGTCAATTTTGTCTGTGCATCAGAAAATTTCTAACACTCACATTTTTTTACTCTAACGTTTTTGTTCTCCCCATACCCTGATGCTGGGGAGAATGTTTGGTTTATTGCACACTAAGTAAGTTAATGGTTTTGGTACGCGATGATAGCCAGTACCCTTAGGCAAGCATTCATAAAACATGTCATGAACATCACTATAGTGCCATACAAGGCTAGTTACATGAGAGGAGCTGTTTGTTGGTAAATCCAACTCTCATTTGTGCCCATAAAGCACAGGAATCCTGCAGGGAAGTCTCAACAGAAGTTACCAGTAGATAAAAGAAGGTCTTGCTACAGAATTCACTGCAGTTTAACAAGCATGAGTAAATGAATATTTTAGTGTAACACAAAATCCAACTAATATCTAGGAGAGAGGCCTTGGGCAGGAAATAACTGAACAATACCAGGGCTTGTGCAACATCTGCTCTACACTGCACAACCTCATGGCTGCACAGGGAGGTCTTCCTGATCTTGTTAGATGGATGCGACAGGAAATTTCAGCTCAGAACACCTTCTTTTTGCATGGCAGTGTAAACTGTGGAAAAAAGGAACAACTGCCTGCTGGTCAGCAGGAAGGAAAAAAAAAAAAAGAAGAAAAGCAAAGGAAGCATAGACAAGAAGTTAAAGAGAGGGAGTGACTCTATAGAATTATGAGTCATGAGAAGGCACTATAAATATGTGCCATTTATATTCTGGAGCGGGCAGGATTGTGCAGGACTCTAGTGCTAATTGCAGAAGCTGATGTTGAGTCCTGAATGTCCCTTGCTGAATGCTGTTCTAGGCAGGGGGCAACTGTTCTGCAGTGGGTTTTGCATCTCAGCTGCTTTGGTATTACTATTGAAACATCTTGGCTATCAGCTGAAATCAGGTGTCATCTCCTGCTGCTGCCTATGATAGGATAGCTTTGAGCCCAGATGGCTTTCAGGTGAAAACAGGGCAGGCTTTAGAAAAACATAATGTGGGTTTTGTTCAGTTGATTAGAAATTGGGGCACCCAGGGATTACAAGCATTCCCAAACTCTGGAAGATGAGTTGGTTTGTGATGACCCTCAAAGCTGTATCTGTGAGCCCTCAGTGAGGAGCATCAGCTTGTATTCCCCAGCGAGCTGTGATGGTTTGAAGGCAAAGAGAACATTTTTGTTTCCTAATAATTGCTACAGAGAGAATGCTAGTTTTGATCTCTCTCTGTGTTAGTCTTATGCAAGAACTTGACTTCAGCTCTAATTTTTCTTTGAATAGATTTTGTGAGGCTGCAGGCTGACCCAAAAGCCCTCAGCAAGCAGAAGAAAAATGCTACTGCCAACAGCTCAGTGATCGCCTATGGCAGCCCAGCAGTGTTCTGAGCAGCAGGAGCATCTGAGTGCTAGCTTGGGAGCCCACTGCTGCCCATCACCACTACCTAATTGGCAGAAAACTCTGTAATTGCTGCTTGTCAGTGGCACCAAGAGTTCAATGCAGAAATCAGAACAGGGGGGCAAATTAAATGACTGTACATGGCAGGTACATGCTTCTAGCAAGAGAGCCAAAGGCTGTGCACCTCTCAGCAGATGAACTATAAAGAACATTCCTAGCACATGCATAACTGCCAGAATGCAAATGTAATGACCTCAGAAAGTACAGATGAGCAAGGAGTCTGGCATGAATTAAACACCTTGTGGTATCATGGCATAGGTGGGGAAACATTTGCTTTCTTGTGTGAAGAATTGATGAGATATATCTTGACCTTTAAGATCAGGCATAAATTCCTCACTGCTTAAAAGAGGGAAGTACGCTTCTAGCTCTGCTGTTTTCCCATTTGGAGGGACCAGGAGGGAGCACTTGGACTGAAAAACAAAAGGAAAAGGCTTGAGAGTTTTTATAAACAAACAAAAGGAAAGGCAACATTGGAGTTACTTTCACACTGATAGCTCTCTGTATTGGTTCATCACAGCACTGTATTACCCTGGCCAAGCTGCTGTTTTGAGATTGGCCTTTCCTTGCTCTTCACTCAGTTATCCCATTGAATGAGAAGAATGAGAAGCTATCATCTACCATTTATGGTCAGTGTGCCTCAGCAATGTCCAGGACTGGTCTACTAATTCAGCTCCAAACTCTGCAAATACAACAGCAGCCTACACAAAGCTAAGTGCTAAGACTCCTGTTTAGGCCTTCTGACAGCTGTCAGGCAGTGACTACAGCATGTTAACTCCACAGGCTTTTGCTAACTAACCGTACGAAAACCTTCAGAGGCACCTCTCAGTGAAGTGCACAAGGCACATCCCAGGTTTATCCCTTTTGATTCACATAACCCCTCTCTATACAGTGTTTTGCCTAGGCTCTCACACGTTTCCTCTGCTGCATCATCCTGTTTGCCACTTCACTGCAGACTCACAGAAGAGCAGCCAAAACATGAGTGATTTCAAAGCAGTAGTGCCAGCCTGCCCTATAGATAATGCAGGGAGATGTTTTATAGTGGTGAATTTTGCTTTGGAGTCGTAAACGGTGTTATCTTTCTGATTTCTGCCTTCTGCTGCAGCCTTCCTGTAACCCTCTAGAATTTAAGTTATACAAACAGCAGATTTGAAGCATATTTCTTTTCTAGGAGCTCAACTCCCCACCAAATGGTTCATACTACTCACTGACTTCACAGAAGAGCAGTTCTGCTTTTGAGGTAACGGCTGTGGAGCTGCTGCTGAAAGACATCAGTAGAGAAGAGGCCTTGAACTGTAACAGTACTGCAGTGCTTGGAGAGAAAAGATCCATTTCACTTTGCTTATGAAAACATCATCATCAACAACAAAACAGTCTTTAAAAGCTAGCAAGTCAGGAGTAGAAATTCTAAGATCAAATCAGACATTTTCCTATAAGGCAAAATCCGATTACCTCTGGTTGGTGACTTACAGATAGGTGCTGAGCCAATACAGTAGGATGCAAATAATTGCCTGAGATACATAAGTGTGCAGAGCTCTTCTATAAAAAAAACACAAAAGTGTAAGACTTATAAATTTAAGAGCTATTGTTCCATTAAACTTTTTGCTTTGCTTGCGGAGACAGAGAGCCTGCTGAAAAACCATTCTAGCTAGTAAAACAGTGATTACTCCAGGAATTCAAGTGTGGGGCTGAATACTGAACTTCCATGCCTGAGATGTCCCCAGAGTGGAAAGAATACACGGCTCATCATAAGGTCTGAATTGAGGCTCAGTGCCTTTATAATGGTACCAAGAGTGCTAATGGCCCTGAAGCAGACAGTGAGTGCCTGAGAAAGAACCCATGCCTTCTGCACAACAGCATAACAGATAGTAAAAGCAAGGGTGATAATAGGTTAAAAATAATGTCATGCGAACCTCCATCAGCTGAATGATATTTATATAAATGCCTGCCAGATCCGGAAGCACCCAGAGGAGTACTTTCTTCAACCAACTTGGTTTTGCAGGCTCTCAGGCTGAACACAGAGGAAAGGCAGCACACCTGGTTTCTCAGAATGCCAGAGAGATCACTTGACCAAAGGGATTCACTTTTTGCTCTTATCACCCTCTGTTCTGCCTTGAGAGGCAGATTGCTGGCCACCCTTGCTGTAGAGAAACTGAGAAACTGTAACAGCCCAGCCTTCCTGACTAAATAAGCACCACATTCCCCAATATGTAAGGTGTACTAGGACGGAAGGTGCAGCTCCTCTCTACCATTAACAGGAACATCTTACTCTCCTAGAACCATAGCAGCTGGTTTCCCCTCCTCTTTCTCAGTTTGTTGCAAAGCAACATCCAGGGTGGAAGTGCTCTGAACGGTAGATCTCATCCTTCTCCTTCCTTTTGCTTCACTGAAGGACAGTGTTGGCCATGGAAGCGGCAGGTTGGGGAGCATTGGCTGCTGGTGGTCTCTCCTTTCTTTTCCACTTCCATGTCCCCAGTTTTCCGTGTCCCAAGCTGGCACCATACTGTGCAGTGCATATCCCAGTTTAGCTGAAGACACTAAGAAACTGCAATTACATATGCAAGC